CTGGGGTCCGAGATGCCGCGCGCGAGGTGGTCCAGCCCGTTACGCTGGACACATCCTCGCAACTCTAGGCTCCGAGATGCCGTTCGGGATGAAGAGGAGGTGGAGGAGGAGGAGGAGGAGGAGGCAGAGTGTTGGTGCTGGGTCAGCAGACGCCAAAAAGCGTTTGTTTGTTGATGGCAACGGCTTGATATGTATCGAGTCCAAGGGTGTTCAGAAACAGCTTGTTGCAACGTCGCAATACAAGCACGTCGGCACTGTTACGTGTTCGACTGACTCGGTGCATCCTGAAATCATTGCGAAAGTTGGTGCCATGCAGGGGGTTTTCAGACAACTGCGTCACAGCGTGCTTCAGCGCAGGAGCGTTCCTGTTGAGACCCGGCTTGCATTGCGCCAGGGCGTTGTTTTCACGCGAGGACTGCACCAATCTAGCACGTGGCCACAGTTGTATGCTGCTGAGCTGTTAAGAATGCGCACAGCCGTGATGCAAGTCCATTCGTCTGTTCTTCGGGAAGATGATGATATGCGCCGGGCGCCGTCGCACGAGGCCATTGCGCAGTGCGAGGGTTTCATCGCTCCGGCAATCATGATTCTCTACATGCGTTTGTGCTTGTTCACGCGTGTTTGCTTGCGCGCGCCGCGCACTTTGTCCGCCATCCTTTCACATACCATTGGTGTGCGCAGATCCTGGATGCAGGCAGTGTCGGAGGATTTGGCGTTTCTGGTCTCACGGGCGGAATCGTTTGCCCAAGCCGCACCTCAGCCAATCGACCGGTGGATTGCTGAAATCCGCACACAACCCAAACGATTCAGAGCCTGTTTGAGAGCTGCGAAGATAGAGCGCGAGGTGAATCGCCCGCAGGTATGGGCGAAGACCCGCCGCATGGCTGAGGTCAATCATGCATTCGCCTGTCAGGAGTGCTCCTGCACGCGCGCGTCCCGGCAGCAACTGGCGACCCATGCCTTCAATGTGCATGGTGTCCGGCGCCGCACACGTGAGCTCATTGACGTGGTGCATTGCCCTGTGTGTATGCAATGTTTTCACGCCCGCGTGAGAGTCATTACTCATCTTGAAGAGCGTTCCGACAGGTGCCGCGCTGTCGTCATGCAGTGCTTCCCACGTCTGCCAGACACCGTCGTGGCGGATCATGACAGGCGGGACGCGGAGGCCGCCAGAGGCCGTGCACGGAAGGGCCAGAGACCGGAACACGCGGACGCCCCTGCCTGTCGGTTGGTTGGGCCTTTGACCAGGGAGGCATACGAAGCTGGCTTGAGCCACAAGTCCCCCGTCCGCCTCTTCCTCCTTCGAGTGAAGCTGGCCGCGGCGCCTCCAGAGGAGGGACGCCTCCATTTCGTGTGCTGTCCCTCGCCTGTCCCCCCATTCCGGTGCATGATCTTCCCCAAAGACGGGCACGTTCCAAACCGCACAGAACGAACGAGGAGGAGGAGGAGGAGGAGGAGGAGGAGGAGGAGGAGGAGGAGGAGGAGGAGGAGATGGAAGGGAAAAGGAGGAGGCGGATGATGTGCATGAGGGAGCAGGCAGGAGGAGGGGGAGGCCCCGGAGAGCCCCAGGAGGCCGCAGGACGCCCAGGACAGGCCCCAGGGGTCCCCAGGAGATTCCTAGGAGGCTCCCAGGAGGCCCCAGGAGGCCGCCTATCAGAACGTGTGAAGTTAATACACATCTGGTGTCGATTCGTTGATTCTTCCTGCTCTTGTGCCCCCCCTTCCCATTTGGAGAGGCCCAAACGGCCACAGGTTTGATATCCACCCTCGGAGCCCCAAGAGGCGTCAGGAAACCCCTGGTGGAGTTCAGGAGGCCACAGGAGGCCCAGAAGGAAGCCCCAGGAGGTCCCCAGGAGGCCCCAGGAGGCCCCCGCAACTCGGAGCTCTGAGACGCCGCGCTCGAGGTGGTCCGGCCCGTTTCGCCCGATACTTCCTCGCGGCACGTTTGCCCGAGAAATCGTCGCAACTCTGGGGTCCGAGATGCCGCGCGCGAGGTGGTCCAGCCCGTCACGCTGGAGACATCCTCGCAACTCTAGGCTCCGAGATGCCGCTCGGGATGAAGAGGTCGATGGGGGGGGAGGAGGAGAAGGAGAAGGATATGGAAGGGAGAAGGAGGAGGCGGATGATGTGCATGAGGGAGCAGGCAGGAGGAGGGGGAGGAGGAGGAGGAGGAGGAGGAGGAGGAGGAGGAGGAGGAGGAGGAGGAGGAGGGAGAAGGAAAGGAGTTGCAGGAGAGGACCTAACGGGAAGCGAGTGCGATGTGGACTTGTCAAAACGTGTGCGAAAGATTGTCCGGCCCGTTTCGTTTGAGACATCCTTCCAATACTGAGCTCCAAGATGTCGCTCGCGAGGTGGTCCGGCCCGTTTCGATTGAGCCATCCTCGCAATGCGAGGCTCGAAGATGTTGCGCGCGAGATGGTCTGGCCCATTCTGCCTGAGACGTTTCGTAGCACAGGAGCTCCAATCACAACCTCTCTCATTCCTTCTCCCGCCTCCCTCTTCCCACTTCCCGCCTGGTTCCTCTTCCCTCCTCCCTCCTCCCGCCTCCCGCCTCCCGCTGCTGCGCCTCTGCCTCCGCCTCCCCGCCCCCGCCGTCGTCGCTTCTGCCGCATCAGCATCCGTCATGCGCGCACTGCCTTCCGCCCTCCCCAGACATCCGACGTCACGATTTTTCTTATGAGACGTGCACCGTGTACCTCTCGATATCATCCCCGAGGGAACCATCTCGACATGCCCTCTCGCTTCCGCGCCCTCCCCCGCTTCCTCTTAAAGTTGTTTCCGAGCTCCTCTTGAAGTTTGCTTCTTAAAGTTGCCCGCGACCCGACAGCTTACTCGTCGACCAGGTGCGACCTGGGACATCCTCGCAACTCTGGGCTCCGAGACAGGGTTCCCCAAACAGGATTTCTATATACCTTTTAGCGACGTCTCAAAACGTGCTGGAGGAGAAGGAGGAGGAGGAGGAGGAGGAGGAGGAGGAGGGAGCAGGCAGGAGGAGGAGGACGAGGAGGAGGAGGAGGAGGAGGAGGAGGAGGAGGAGGAAGAGGGATTAGGAATGGAGTTGCATGAGAAGGCTTAACGGGAGTCGAGAGGTAGAACAGCCCGTTTCGCTTGGGGCATCCTTCCAATACTGAGTTCCGAGATGCCGCGCGCGAGGTGGTCCAGCCCGTTTCTCCCGAGCCAGGCGTCTCAGCCTGGCCGGGAGAAACGGGCGCAAGGTGGTCCGGCCCGTTTCGCACACGACATTCTCGCAACTCTGAGCGCTCAGATGCTGCGCAAGAGGTGGTCCAGCTTGGGGGCCCAGAAGACCACATGTTACATATCCTCCCTGGGACCCAGGGAGCCCCAGAGGGCTCCAGGAGGCCGCAGGACGCCCGGGACAGGCCCCAGGGATCCCCAGGAGATTCCCAGGAGGCTCCCAGGAGGCCCCAGGAGGCCCCCTATCAGAACGTGTCAAGTTAATACACATCCGGTGTCGATTCGTTGATTTTTTCCTGCTCTTGCCCCCCCCCCCCCCCCCATTTTGGGGGGCCCCGACGGCTACATGTTAGATATCCCCTCCTGGGAGCCCCAAGAGGCTTCAGGAAGCCCCAGGTGGGGTCCAGGAGGCCACAGGAGGCCCAGGAAGCCGGAAGCCCCAGGAGGTCACCAGGAGGTCCCAGGAGGCCCCAGGAGGCCCCCACAACTCGGAGCTCTGAGACGCCGCGCTCGAGGTGGTCCGGCCCGTTTCGCCTGAGACTTCCTCGCAGCACGTTTCGCCCGAGACATCGTCGCAACTCTGGGGTCCGAAATGCCGCGCGCGAGGTGGTCCAGCCGTTACGCTGAGACATCCTCGCAACTCTGGGCTCCGAGATGCCGTTCGGGATGAAGAGGAGGTGGAGGAGGAGGAGGAGGATGAGGAGGAGGAGGAGGAGGCATGTTTAACATGCCATGCCAGCCCGCACTGGACGGGCACGCAATCGACCTTGGAAACGTCAGTGGGTCTAAAAACCCTGTTTGGGGATACTGCACTCCGGCTATAATCAAATTTTTATTAGGGTTTTTGGATTAGGTATTTGTGGATTCCCATGTTCCAATCTACCTTGCGCGCCTTCCAACTTCAATGATCGAGTGGCTTCACCTTTCCGCCCTCCCAAGGGGGCGGACGGAACCCAGTCTACTTCCAGCGCCTTCCTACCTCATGTTGCTGCCTACTTCTTCCGACCGATGGGTAAGCTGCCCGCGTAAGGTCGCGCGTGAGCGCCCTCGTTTCCAGTGGGGAGCTCCGCGCTGGCGGCCCGAGCAAGCCACCGCGTAGTCGACATCGCCCGCACATGCTTGCACTGCTAAGAACTTACGGCCAGTGCCGCCGACCCTGGAGGCATCGGCCCTCGACGGAAATGGGAGGGAGAGGGCGGGCCATGGGCCCCAGGAGGGCGAGGACTGCACTCTAGCCCTTGCACGGCTCAATTGGCCCCCCACAGGGCGTCAAGACGGCCCAAGAGGATCCGCCATGCCGAAGAAGATGACCACGAAGACGACCAAGCTTGGCCTCGTGCTTGGCACGATGGCAACCGGAGCTCTCGGTGCAGACACACGCACCACGCCGGGCACTCTTCCCGCAGCCGACGTCGTTCGCGACATGAACGCTATCATCGACGCCTCCTTTGCCACTGTCCCGAACGACGACGGCTACCGTTTCCCCCAGGCCACGGTCCAGCCTTCGTGGGAGAAGTGCAGTATCATCGATTACCCTTTGCAGAATTGCTTCGAAACGACGGGCACGTACATCTGTGACACCAGCACGCCAGCGGTGCAACACCACTTACAGGTGCTCGGCATCGACGCTTGCTTCAGCACCGAGGGTACAGAAGTCTCGCGCGGTGGGTACGCCGCCGCGGGGTCGGCTGGGTGCAAGGCACTCTTCGCCTTCTTGTATGCACACGGCAAGCTGACGACCACGTACCCGATGGGCCCTGCGTTTGCAAACTCCGAGATGGTCAGCTGGACAAACGCGACCGAGGATGCGCTGGCCTTTTGGCGAGTACCCGTCGTGGCGTGCTGGTGGCGTCACCGTGAACAACGACGTCATCCCCCCTCGAGGCACTTGGAACGACCTCGGGCCGACGTGGGGCACTGGCAACTCCGTGAATGGCTACGCCATCTGCGACATCGTGACGACCATTCTCCAGCAAACCAACAACCAGGCAGGGACCAGCACATGCGGCCCCTCGGCAATCCTTGCCGCTCTCAACTTCAACAATCCAATCAAGTCTCTCAAGTATGCGCTCGAGCTGCTTTGGACGGGCGGCAATCGGGCGCTCCCGAAGCCCACTTGCGAGTACATCGTCGACAACCAGCCTGGCCTCATTGCCGTGCCCAAGAAGTGCGACGTCATCGACAAGGACAATTGCCCGGCATTCAAGGCGTGCATCGATGCGAAAGGCAATGAGAACGACTGCAAACTCCTTGGCTACGGCAGTCCGCTCAACCCCGTGGGCATCCAGAGCATGTCGACGCAGGCGTGGCAGTCGAGCTACTTCTCGTCAGTTGACGGCGCCGAGTGCACCGAGAAGTCGCTCGGCATGAACTACGAGGGCGGCGACCTGAAGGCGGTCCGTCAGGCGCAGATGTCGAGCCCTGCGCTCGAGATGTACCTGTGCAAGTACCTGCTCAACGGAGGTCAGGACTGCGTGTTCGAATTTAACGCCAATAAGGTGGTGGAGCTCCCCGCCTCGTCAGCCAAGCAATGGGTGCAGTTCCCCGGCCTGACTGGCTCTGACATCGGGCAGCTCCAGGATTGCCTCGAGGGCCCTGCCGCGTTGGAGACTTGCGTGGCCGACAAGGAGAAGCATAACCCGCGCATCAACACGTTTATCCAGGGCATCCAGAAGGATGCCACAGACCCGACCCAGGGAAAGCAGGCCGTTCAGAGCGTCTTCGGCTCGATCCAGCCGTCGTTCACTTCTGCCTCGCTCGAGCAGGCATGCCACAAGCCGGGCGAGGCGGTCTTCTTAATCAAAGCCGCCTACATCCAGAGCAACGGCGATAAGCTGCCTCATGTGTTTCCCAACCAGCCGCCACTGGCCGAAAATGACAACCGTATGACGCCAGCGGCGATTGCCTACCCCAACCTTGAAGGGAACGACGGCAATTGCGACCACTGGATCGTGCTCGAGTCGTGCAACGATGACGACACGTACACATTCTGGACCTGGGGCTACAAGGTTCGCATGTCGAAGGTATACCTGCTGGGCGACACCGTTTCGACCTCGGTGCCCACCGGCGGCATGATCTGCGGGGCTGTGCATACGCCACTGTCGTCCGGATCGGGCTCGGACGGAGGTCTGAGTGGAGGACACATTGCTGCCATTGTCCTCGGCTCCATCGCCGGCGTCGCCTTGCTCGCCCTGGCGGGCTTTGGCATCCACAAGACCTGCCAGCCTGCAGAGGTCGGCTATGGCGCGGTGGATGCCGAGAGTGTGGTCGTCATTCAGAAGTCGGCTGACGCTGCCGCGCCCCTTGTCTGAGCGGACAAGCTGCGTGGAGGGGCGTAATTGAATGGGCGCGCGAGGCAGAGAGCCAGCTGTGCGATCGAGCGATCCAATTAAAATTGCGAGCCCCACGCCCCAAGAGGATTTCCGAGACTCCCAAGAGGCCCCTAGGCAGCCAAGAAGAGGCCTCCAACACGCCCCATAACCCGTGCACTTCGACCCCCCAGAGGCCCCGAGAGGCGACAATGGCATTATTCCCTTCGTAAAACATACGTTACTCTGTTTTTCCGTCTTCGCACCGTCCTGAACAGCCTCGGGGGCCCCCACGATCGCCCCAACACGGCCCACGAGACCCCCCAGAGGGCGCCAAGACGGCACAAGAGGGCCCCAAGGCAGTCCCAGAGGCAGCGGAGATGGCCCGAACGGCATCCCAAATGGCCCCAAGAGGAGCCCGAGCTGGGGAAATCCAATTGGAATTGCGAGACCCCCGCCCCAAGAGGACCCCCGGGGAACCCCCCAAGAGGCCTCTCCAAGCAGCCCCCAAGAGGCCTCCAAGACGCTTCACAAAACGTGCAATGTGTTCCCCAACAGGGCCCCAAGAGGCAACAAGTGTCCCATCCCTTTCGCAAGCCAGCATTTTGTTCCATATTCGTTTGTTTGGTCTTCGTACCGTTCTCACCGACTTCAGGGGTTCCCAAGATCGCCCCAATTCGACCTAGGAGGCCCCCCGGGAGGCGCCAAAACGGTCCAAGAGAGCCCCGAGACGGCCCCAGCGCCACCCAAAAAGGCCCAACTGGCTCCCCAAAGCACCCCAAGTGGGCCCCAATATGGGGGAATCCAATTGGAATTGCGAGCACCCCGCCCCAAGAGGACCCCCAAGGAACTCCCAAGAGGCTCCCACGAGGCCCCCACAGGCGCCCAAGAAACCCCCAGGAGACCCCCCAAACGTCGCAAACGGGCATCGACGACGGCTGACGACGGCCCCATGGCCCTATAACCCTATAGCCCTGTAACCCTATTGCCTTCTAGC